TATTCCCCGTCATGTGAAATCCATATATTAGGTACAAATGTACTTATTTAAATTGACTGATTTCCTTATCACATTTACATTTGAGTCATTTAGCAGACGCTCTTATCCAGAGCGACTTACAGTTAGTGAATACATTTTTTTTTTTATACTGGCCCCCCGTGGGAATCGAACCCACAACCCTGGCGTTGCAAACGCCATGCTCTATCAACTGAGCCCTGGACAACACTGGGCCAATTGTGCGCCGCCCATGAGTCTCCCGGTCGCGGCCGGCTGCGACAGAGCCTGGATTCGAACCAGGATCTCTAGTGACACAGTTAGCACTGCGATGCAGTGCCTTAGACCACTGCGCCACTCAGGAGCCCCTTATATGAACTGTAACGCAGTAAAATCTTTGAAGTTATTGCATGTTGCGTTTTATATTTTTGTTCAGCATAATTACACTTTGGAGGTTGTATCAATGCACCCAGTCACTACAAAGATACAGGTGTCCTTCCTAACTCAGTTGCTGGAGAGGAAGGAAACCGCTCTGAGATTTCACCATTAGGCCAATGGTGACTTTAAAACAGTTACAGAGTTTAATGGCTGTGATAGGAGAAAACTGAGGATGCATCAACAACATTGTAGTTACTCCACAATACTAACCTAATTGACATAGTGAAAAGAAGGAAGCCTGTACGGAATAAAAATATTCCAAAACAAGCATCCTGTTTGCAACAAGGCACTAAAGTAATACTGCAGAAAATGTGGCAAAGCAATTACCTTTTTGTCCTGAATAGAAAGTGTTTTGTTTGGGGCAAATCCAATCCAACACATTACCACTCTCCATATTTTCAAGCATAATGGTGGCTGCATCATGTTATGGGTATGCTTGTAATGATTAAGGACTGGGGAGTTTTTCAGGATAAAAAATAAATGGAATGGAGCTAAGCACAGGCAAAATCCTAGAGGAAAACCTGGTTCAGTCTGCTTTCCAGCAGACACTGGGAGATGAATTCACCTTTCAGCATGACAATAACCTAAAACACAAAGCCAAATCTACGCTGGAGCTACGTACCAAGAAGACAGTGAATGTTCCTGAGTAGCCTAAAGTTTTGACTTAAATCTACTTGAAAATCGATGGCAAGACCTGAAAATGGTTGTCTAGGAATGATCAACAACCAATTTGACAGAGCTTGAAGAATTTTGAAAATAATAATGGGAAATGTTGCACAATACAGGTATGCAAAGGTCTTAGAGACTTACTTTCATAAGTCACAAATAAATATATGATCTGTAAATATATTAAACATACAGTAGCTTAAAAATAAAACCACAATTTGAATAAATGTACAATGATTTGTGAACAAATGCATGTGGATCTGTATTCGTTGTTTACAGGATTTTCAGACTCTCTTTTCCACTGGTTTTATGTTGTACAATCCACAAATGTGGCTATAGTGTCCATGTTAGGACAGCCTCAGTCTAAGCAGGAGTTGACTCTCCTTTCCTCCATTTCTAGCTTAATTTCCTCCTTTCTTAGATCCCTTTCCTCCTTTTCTTTCCTAGATCCCTTTCCTCCTTTTCTTTCCTAGATCCCTTTCCTCCTATGATGGCTCCCTTTCCTTTCCTCCTTTCCTCCAGTCCTTTGCTATTCTAACTTTTTCTAGTGAATGTTCCTGAGTGGGCGATTTACAGTTTTAACTTAAAAATCTATGGCAAGACTTGAAAATAGCTGTCTAGCAATGATCAACAACCAACTTGACAGTATAATGGGCAAATATTGCACAATCCAGGTGTGCAATATACCCCAAAAAACTCAAAAGGTGTTTCTAACATGTATTGACTCAAGGGGGTAAATACTTATTTAATCAAGATATAGTAGTCTTTCATTTATCTATTTTTTTTTTTTTTTATGTTTTCTTCCACTTTGACAGTATAGAGTATTTAGTGTAGATCATTGACAAAAAATTATAACTGAATCCATCCAAGACTATAGATCAACACTAGAAAGCATGCACACACATTTATCACACACATTTGTCGGAAGAAAATAGTTACGCTAATCAAAAATTGTGGACATGACCCCCTCGTCCCTAGTGAATGTTCCGCCCCTGTGTATTTGTATTTGAAATACTTATTTTCTGTGTATTTAAGTAATTTTCAAATGTGGCCGAATCAACTACTTCTATTTGATGTATTATTTTCAAATGATTTCCTATAAATAGCCTACTATTTAAAACTATTTTCAAATACTTGTTTACAAATACGTTATTTCAAATTCCCCTGGGTTCAAATACATGGAGTATTTAAATATTTGTATTTAAAAATGCACAGACAAATACATGCCAATACTTTTGAAGTGTATTTCCAAATACATTCCAATGTGACTTACTTCAAATACAAAAATGTCCAAGTACTTACTTCGAAATGTCTTTGAAAATAATTGAAATACCCAAAATAGTATTTGAAACCAGGTCACTCACACACACACACACTGCAGCCCCCGTCAGGTGCCATCAGTGTTACTGTGGGTCTTTGTCACTGTCCCTCCCCGTTGGAGCCAGACTGAGCTGCAGGCCGCAGGGGAACAGCTCTGTGACTGTCTGATGTGACAGTCAGGGCTGCAGTCTGGAGCAGTGGGGAGTATTACTGTACCCTCTCTCTGTGACAGCTAGACTACAAACATCAGAGCCCTAGCCTGTAGCCATACTACTGGCCTAAACCTCCCTCACCTTACCCTCAGAGGCATGGCACAGAGAATGACCAATCAGTCTGCACTGCAGTGACTTTGTGGGATTCACTGTAGTAATCATGTATCATCATCACTGTTTCCCTACTTCTGCCATTCTCAGTGCCACATCATGGTTTAGTGTGTGTGTGTGTGTGTGTAGATGTGTACGTACATATGCACGTGTGTGTGTAGACAATCCACTCCTTCCTTCCCTCCACTCTTCCACCGTAACCTTCCTCTAACCCTCCACACGCACACCTATTCAGGCACATATTAGAAAGTAGACATTTCACTATCTAATTACAGGTAGCCACCTCCACACTACCTCCACCCTGCCTGGATCTCTGCTCTCTCTAAGCTGAGTCCCAAATGGCACCCTATTCCCTTTATAGTGCACTACTGTTGACCAGGGCCTATTGGGCTCTGGTCAAAAGTAGTGCACTATATAGGGAATAGGGTGCCATTTGGAATGCAACCTCTAAGTCTCCCATTACAACAGGCTGCCAGGAGGCATCTGATGGAGGCATCTGATAGGGCATCCCAAGGGGCCGGGCGACTGGCCTGTGTAAGACCCACTCAAAGGAGAGCCTGATGTACTGTAGTCACTCCACTGTTCTCCTTCCTGTTACTAAAGCTAACAAAGGATGCCGTGTGCGCTGGAGACATACTGTATCAGCCTGCTTTGCTTAGAAAGAATTAGCTTGGCGGCAGGTTGATTTGTATTTGTTTTTGGAATGTTGTTTAGAATATGGATTTTCATAGAAGTTATAATTTATTTTGGGAACGGTGTCTAAGATATTGATTTGTATGGTAGTTAGAATGTTGTTTAGAAATTGATTTGTCTTGGAGTTAGAAGGTCAACGGATGCTGTGTGCGCTGGAGACATAGCTACTACTCTGTGCTAGAGGTCTTCACGGATCTACCCGAACCCGATTACCCTTGATCCGACCCAGGATCCAGAATGTTGTAGTTAAACCTCAGATCCCTGTGTGAAAATATGTGAAATACTGACCAGATCCTAAATTATATTTGAAGAGTTTAGTTCCTGAACAACGTAAATGCAAATTTCACACATTTACATTTTATTCTCTTAAATGATTGTCATTGGGTCCCCTTTCATCAAACCAAATATGTCAAAATATAATTTGGTGGCAAAGCCCACTGCGGGTTAACTAGGCTACTGTTGAGAGAGGAGGAGGACGCAGCGGAAAAGAGTGAAAGCCTATATAAAGTGTTTCTGAAATATGGAGTTGTTTCTTGCTGATGTGAAGAAGACACTGAATGAAAGTGAGTACAGGGAGGAAAAACCAAAAGGCAAATCTTCTAAATGGGCCTCATTTATGCACATTGTGGATACGGAGGTGAAATGGGTTGCCAATATTTTCAAGACCTGAGCTATAAAAAATATTTTTTACAAATGTGGGCTATTTTGTGTAAAGTCGGGGAGGATGTCACAATCGATGCTTGATCAAACTGGTTATCCCCTCCCGCTGTCTGCTGTCGCCTGAATCCTATCCTTCGCTATTGCATTTTTCTTTCTACGAGCAGTGCAGTGAGAAATATGCCTGAGGAGTACTAGCCTACTTTATGGACTAATTTAGGAATGTTCTCCATTCAAAGCATTAGGTCTGACTGCTCAGGAAATTGTTGCATACACTAGGCCTTCCCAAAGATTTCTCAAATCGAATGAACTAATCTCTTATTTGATATTTACTGTATATTGTCGCCAGCCCAAAGAATATCCATGATTACAGTTTTGAGAATGAAATGAAGGCATGAGTCATCTTTCATCTCTCAGTGGATATTAGTTTCCATCATCATTCTCCCTGAAACGTATTTCTGCATCCACTTTTCCCTACTGCATAGTGCACTACTTTTGACCAGAGCCCTATGCGCCCAAGTCAAAAGTAGTGCACTTTATAGGGAATAGGGTGCCATTTGGGACGCAGAGCTCTCTGCTTATCTCCCTTTGTTTGTGAGAGAGATCATGTTGATCCAACAGTACACTCTCTCCGTTTGTTTTGCTCGAAAGTGTTTTGAGTCAGTTTACTCCAGCGAGGAGCCATCTCTGATTAGCAATGAGCTCCTTGCCTGAAATAATTTCCTGTGGTAGTCTCAGCTAAAATAGTCTAGACATTTCCAGTTTGAGGGAGGACACTTTTTTTGTAATAAGCATGTACGAACCTTTATGTCTTATAATAGGCCTTTATAATATGTTATGGCTGTTATTTAATCCGAATAATTTTAAGGAGGTTATGTACTGTGTACAATACACAGTGTGGACTACAATATGTACAGTGGTAGGGTCTATCTGACTGATTGTTTTCTTACTGTGTGTTTCAGGACAAGAAGACCTACCTTGACATCATCCACACCTACACGGAGGTGCACGCCACCGTGCACGGCACCAGCACTGTGCACTTGCCCAGCTATGTGAGAAACTACGGCATCCTGAGCGGCCGTGACCTGCAGTTCCTCCTCAGGGAGACCAAGGTGAGAGCATCACACACACACACACACACACACAAACACACAGGGTGAGAGCTTGCAAACACACACACACACACACTTATACAGTACACACGGACACACACACACACACACCAGAGTTGAAGAATCCTGCCCTAGAGAGAGGAACCACACTTGCCACACTGTAGGACTCGGGGGCATAGGTTCCTGATAAGATAAGACGTAAGAAATACTTTATTAATCCCCGATGGGAAGTTGGTTTGCCAGTGAACAGCATGTACACACAGTCACGAAAAAGACAACAATCAACAATAAGTGGTTAAAAAAAAAGTCCTGAAGTTACAGTGGGCAGTGGGATGATTATTCAAATGAGAATGTTATGAGCAGTTTGTTCTTAATAGCAGTTAGCTGAACACCACAGAATGTTCTAAGATGTACATACACATACACACACACACACACACACACACACCGACACTCTGTTTGTTGGGAGTGCGACACCCCCCCCGTGTCTTCACTATGCATCACAGTGAGCGGATGGTGTATGATGTCGCTGCCATAATGACGTCACTCAAAGTGTCAAGGCGAGTGTCAGGATCTCTCAGCACATCATCATTAGTCATAGTGATCTCGCCCAGAGCGCCTCAGCAGGGCCGTATGCTAGCCAGGGCCTCCATTCATGTCATGCCCAGACCTGCCACTGCTCTTGACACAATGCAACTGCTCAAGGTTCACTTCTTCTGAAGCGCCTCCAACCACACTGCCTGATTTCTAGCCATACAACTGGTCCCAGATCTATTTGTACTGTATAGCCCAACGACCCTCTGAAGCTCCAACCACAATGCCTGTTCTCAAGCCACACAACTGGTCTGTTTGTGCTGTATAGCCAACTCCTATGGTCGTGCACACAAAACAGATCTGGGGCCAGGCTACACCTGTCCTAAATAGTCTGAAAAGATGCTGTGATTCTGTGCAAACCTGTCGGGAGAAACTGTGTAAAATCTGGAAACCAGCAAGAGTCAGGCTTGAAAAGAGAGAGCGATCAGATATCTTTGGAAGGAGAGGGAGAGAGTGGAGGAGATCTTTGGAAGGAGAGAAAGAGAGTGGAGGAGATCTTTCAAGATCTTCTCATTACCTCGGTGTATGGAAGCCCGGAGGGGGGGTGGGGCGCTAATTGCCATAAATCCAGACCTGTTTAGCAGCAGTATTGTGTTGTTGAGATAACAAGAAGAACGAGGCAAGGTGTTTTCCAGCCACACTTTCCTCCCTGCTCCTCTTTATGAATAAAGCATTTACCTGCTAACAGATTGCTTGTGTTAATTGTTCCCCCGAGATTTTTGGCAAAACGACACGGAATACATAGATAAAGTATAAAATAGGGCAGGGGTGGAAGGGACTGTTTGAATTGGAAATGAGCCAGCATTATACTGCCTTAGTGTAATATTATATGGCATTGGTATTAAGAATGCTTTGGCTGTAGCTAATGGGTATCCTAATTAAATACTAAATCTCACAAAACATACACTAACTTGCGTTTCCAACTGAATCGAAGACAGGGCTCATGTTGTCCCGCTTTCATTGGCTCTAAGGTCCTAATTCTCTCTTTATGACTTGTGAGAAACAGAATTCAGCTTTGTACCTAGAAGGAAGTTGGCTACAATTATTGTCCTCCCGCTCTACATGCAATTTGCAACTTCCCTTTGTGTGGAATGTGGATGGAGGTTTAACCATGGGCTGTTTGCATCTCCTCTGTCATGCTATGGCAAAGTGCCCTTCTATTGAAATACCAGTTCAAGGTGATGCATTGGTCTGGAGTAGGGTGACGTTGCCCGTACACTCTGATCTTGGGTCAGTTTGGCATTTTCCCCACTAATTGTTATGGTTAAGATTCAGGGACCCTTGAACAAAATCAAATCAGAGTTTATTTGTCACGTGCACAGCATACAACAGGTGTAAGCAGTACAGTGACATGCTTGCTTGCAAGCATCTATTCTGTTACTAGGGGAAACTTCACTCCAGAACCATGCTATTGCAAAAGGGCCCTTCTGTTGAAATAACAGCCCAATGTGATGCATTGGTCTGCAGTATTTAGTGGTGGATCACTGGCTTTTCTCTCCTAGGTCTCAGCCTTCTTTATACTGGCATATGACCACATTCTTCTTCTGAAGTTGTTCACTGTAGTTGAAGTACTGTATTTCATTGAAGGGCACTTACAACTAGCCTGGTTGCCTCTCACCTTCTCACCACCCCCCATATAGATTCCTTCTCACAATATCCATTTAGCATATACTATGCTATGCTTTTGTATGCTGTGCAATTCTATGCTGTGCTATGCTACACTACACTATCTGAGAGGAGTTTGCTCTATAAATAGCAGCTGTTTGTCAGGCCTGTGTGCTCACTGGACTGCAGTCTTCCACACTCACTGCCTTGGAGGAAACACCACCACTGAGCCTCTGCTGCCACCTGTTGACAAAACGCTGACAGCTGCAGTCAATACTGTCTGTCCCACTGCTGTTCATTGTTTGCATTGGGGTTCTCCAACTCCGGTTCTGGGGAGCTACTGTCCTTGGACTGCAGGCTTTTGCTCCAGCTCGTCACTAGCACACCTGATTTAAATAATCATGATAAGGATTTAACTCTGGACCATGCCTAGCATGCAATCTCTATCGCACTCCACACTGCCCTTTCCCACCTGGACAAGAGGAACACCTACGTGAGATGCTATTCATTGACTACAGCTCAGCATTCAACACCATAGTGCCCTCTAAGCTCATCACTAAGCTAAGGATCCTGGGACTAAACACCTCCCTCTGCAACTGGATCCTGGACTTCCTGACGGGCCGCCCCCAGGTGGTAAGGGTAGGTAACAACACATCTGCCACACTGATCCTCAACACGGGGGCCCCTCAGGGGTGCGTGCTCAGTCCCCTCCTGTACTCTCTGTTCACCCATGACTGCATGGCCAGGCACGACTCCAACACCATCATTAAGTTTGCCGACGACACAACAGTGGTAGGCCTGATCACCGACAACGATGAGACAGCCTATAGGGAGGAGGTCAGAGATCTGGCCGTGTGGTGCCAGGACAACAACCTCTCCCTCAACGTGACCAAGACAAAGGAGATGATTGTGGACTACAGGAAAAAAAAGAGGACTGAGCACGCCCCCATTCTCATCGACGGGGCTGTAGTGGAACAGGTTGAGAGCTTCAAGTTCCTTGGTGTCCACATCACCAACGAACTATCATGGTCCAAACACACCAAGACAGTCGTGAAGAGGGCACGACAAAGCCTATTCCCCCTCAGGAGACTAAAAAGATTTGGCATGGGTCCTCAGATCCTCAAAAAATTCTACAGCTGCACCATCGAGAGCATCCTGACTGGTTGCATCACCGCCTGGTATGGCAACTGCTTGGCCTCTGACCGCAAGGCACTACAGAGGGTAGTGCGTACGGCCCAGTACATCACTGGGGCAAAGCTCCCTGCCATCCAGGACCTCTATACCAGGCGGGTGTCAGAGGAAGGCCCTCAAAATTGTCAAAGACTCCAGCCACCCTAGTCATAGACTGTTCTCTCTGCTACCGCACGGCAAGCGGTACCGGAGTGCCAAGTCTAGGTCCAAAAGACTTCTCAACAGCTTCTACCCCCCAAGCCATAAGGAATTAGATGTGTTACTGCAGGGCTGGAACAAAATCCTGCACACCCAGTAGCTCTTAAGGAGCGAATTTGGAGAAGCCTGGTTTTACATTCCCACACGAGGTAGTGAGGTACAGTGGCTGAGGAGTGAGGTACAGTGGCTGAGGAGTGAGGTACAGTGGCTGAGGAGTGAGGTACAGTGGCTGAGGAGTGAGGTACAGTGGCTGAGGAGTGAGGTACAATGGCTGAGGAGTGAGGTACAGTGGCTGAGGAGAAGGATGATATAGGGAAAGGCTGGTAGGTATAGGCTGAAGAGAAGGGATGGTATGGGAGACTCCTAAAGAGACCCTCTGTCTCTCCAGGCAGGGCCGGCACTGACCCAGTGGGATCTGGCTCTTGCCGACTCACAGACCAGCCATTGTGGCCGTCGCCGGCCCTCCGCTATAACAACCACGGCTCCAATGGCTCTCTTTTTACTAATGGGGCCTCAGACAAACACATTATTGTGGCACGCTTCACGGACTAGTCACCTCTGGTTCCAGCATGTTGGAGAGCCTCTCAGATATTTGCTTTGGTCATCCAACTCAATGGGTTTGCTATTGTCCTCTGTGTGTATGGAGTCTTTGTTGTGATGATTGGCATGGCCTCTTCTCTCCAATGACAGGGCCGTATTTGTGTGTAGAGTGTGTTTCACGAGAAGTGCTAGTAGAACAAGTAATACAAGTACTGTAGCTACAGTACTTGTATCAGTGCCAAGAAGTGCTTGAACGAGATGGGTTCAATGTTAAGTACATAAAACATGACACACTTATTTACAGAGTCTGTCCATTTTCTGCTGGCTATGCCAATATTCAGCTTTTTTAATACAGATCTTTATTGCTACAAAAATATATAAATAAAAATAAACATAATCACCACTCACTAATTCAGTCACTAACATTTTACCCCGGCATGCTTATGGTAACAACACCACTCCCCTTACTTCCTCCTCTGGTCATTGTTTGTATGTGCATGTGTGTGCGCACATTTTCATTCACTCAGCGTTAGCCCCTCCTTGGGCCGACACCACATACACGCTCAAAAGCGACTGAGAACTTGTGGCTCTGCTTACCAGACAGGAGAAGCCCTCTTTTACGACACCGTTTTATAGCAGAACACTGTGGAATAGTTAAAAAACAATAAAAGCTGTCTGAGCCTCTGTATGCTGCTGGTGCAGACCAAACAAACGAAAACAATGGCAAGGCTGTGGGAATTCTAGGAAATAAGAGGTGTCTGCTCTTATTTCTCAGAAGAAGAAAATATTGTACTGCAATAGTTTTTTCTTCCTGGCACTGATTCTGCTGATGGGGGCTATTTCAAAGAAGAGTCTACTTGCAATAACTTTGATATGTAGTTGTTGTTTCCTACTAAACTTAGTTGAATGCATTAATTGTAAGTTGCTCTGGACAATAGTGTCTGCTAAATGTCAATGTCAATGTAAATGTAATGCTCTTTTGCTCCACAGCTGTTTGTTGGCCTGTCCTTCCCCTACGAAGGCCCCGCCCCCCTAGAGGCCATAGCTAATGGCTGTGCCTTCCTCAACCCCAAGTTCACCCCGCCCAAGAGCAGCAAGAACACAGACTTCTTCAAGGGAAAGCCCACCCTGAGAGAGGTGAGAGGCGCCACTCCGCCTAGGGACCCCAGTCAAAGCGTGTGTGTGTATGTGTGTGTGTGTGTGTGTGTGTGTGTGAGAGAGAGACATAACCTAGTCCTCTATTCTCTTCTGTGCTGCTACCTCTCCTTTCTTTTATTCATGACAGGTCCTCTGTAATAAGTCAGTCTGGTGTTTGCTAAATGATAGGGTCTAGTTTGTTGAGCGTGTGTGCACAGTAGTTCTTCATCTGTGATGTGACTCGACCTCAATGCTCTCCTACTACTGAACTACTGTGTCATGTGTTTGATTCTGTCATGCGTTTATCTGTTTTTAGCCTGCCAGGGGGCTACAGATGAAAAATAGCTGTCTATTATTAGCTGACTAGCTAATTCAGCTACTGTGACTCTTCAGTATTGTCTGATGTTGATGATTGATTGTACACAATAATCACTCTGGATAAGAGCATCTGCCAAACCTGCTAAATGACTCAAATATAAACGTAAAACAATATATTGTGTGCTTTCTTCAGCTTGCCAAAAGTATTTTTATGGCAGTCGAAGAAATTAAATAAAAATGTGTTCCCATGCAGTTGACCTCCCAGCACCCATATGCTGAGGTGTATATTGGCCAGCCCCACGTGTGGACGGTGAACATCGACAACCCTGCAGAGGTGGAGAGAGCCATCCGCTCAATCCTCAGTCAGAAGGTACCCTTAAAACACACACACAGAGACACACAAACATAATAGGTTTCCCTGCTCACATTCTCTCCTTTCTATTCTTTTAGCACAGTCTGAAATGAAAACTCTCCCAGTCTCATTTCCTAAAGCCTCAGATACTCAAACGATTGTACCAGTCAGGGAAGCAGAGAGCGTGTTCACAAGGGGGCCCGATTAGAATAGAAGAATAAGACAAATTCACAGAGAGATGAATTGAGAATAGCAAAGTGAGAGCTTTTCTTTCTCTCTCCCCTCTCACTGGGACCATGCATATTTAAGTCCAGGGGCAAGCAGACCTCGTGTCTGTGTTCCCAATGGCACCCTATTCCCTATATAGTGCACTACTCTATGGGCTCTGGTCCAAAGTAGTGCGCTATGTAGGGATTAGGGAATATGGTGCCATTGGGGACACACACAACTCGTGTTCTTCTGCAGGGGTGCCCGAACAATGGGTTTGTTCATTAGAGAAGGCTACTGTGTCTCATATGGTTTCTGACCTATGTCCAGACTAACAGCCCTCAGCTTAATTTTCTCTCTCTGTATGTGCCCCAAATGGCACCTTGTTCCCTTTATAGGGCACTACTTTTGACCAGGGCCCTATGGGCCCAGGCTCTGGTCAAAAGTAGTGCATTACAGTGCATTCAGAAAGTATTCAGACCCCTTGACTTTTTCCACATTTTGTCACGTTACAGCCTTATTCTAAAATTGATTAAATAATTGTTTTTCCTCATCAATCTACACCCAATACCCCATAATGACAAAGCGAAAACAGATTTGTAGATTTTTTTGCACATCATTTTTTGGGGGTGTGCAAAAACTACAAAAATAAATACCTTATTTACATAAGTATTCTACAAACCTGTTTTGGTTTTGTAATTATGGGGTATTGTGTGTAGATTGATGAGGGGAAAAAAACAATTTAATACATTTTAGAGTAAGGCTGTAATGTAGCAAAATGTGGAAAAAGTCAAGGGGTCTGAATACTTTCCAAATGCACTGTATATAGGGAATAGGGTGCCATTTATGATGCAACCTCTGTCTCCGCTCTCTACGGCTGAGAGCATAGAATGTTATTCCACCAATCACAAATTGATCTCAGAGGTTAGTTGACCAAGTGAGTGTTTCCCAGCACTGTATAACAAGTTGTTTAGATGGAACAAAGATGCAGCTCAGTAGTTTGTCTCATTGAGTTTTGCTCTGTCGACTACAGAACATAATGACTATAGTGTGTGTTCAGTTCTCGCTGATATCCTCGGCGCTACTGTAGGTAGTTGTATATATATATTTCAGGAGTGTTTCTGTCTAGAGGACCTCGGTCAGGGTTGGAGAGTTGTGACGCGCATACATACACACATACTCTGCACGCACACACAGTCTCTCTCTCTCTCTCTCTCTCTCTCTCTCTCTCTCTCTCTCTCCTCTCTCTCTCTCTCTCTCTCTCTCTCTCTCTCTCTCCTCTCTCTCTCTCTCTCTCTCTCTCTCTCTCTCTCTCTCTCTCTTTCTCTCTCTCTCTCTCTCTCTCTCTCTCTCTCTCTCTCTTCAGCCTCTTTCCTTTTCTTCACATCAGTACCTGTCCCACCATAGGCACATCTAAAGCAGACACAGGCACATACTCTAAGCAAGCTGAGTGCCATTCTACAGCCTATAAGAGCTTTATGTCCAGCTCTAGCCTGACTCACCTGTCTATCCCCAGATCGAGCCCTACCTGCCCTATGAGTTCACCTGTGAGGGGATGCTGCAAAGAGTCAACGCCTTCATTGAGAATCAGGTACGACCTCACTATAACGGTCCTCTCCATTCCGCAGTACAGCAGTCAGAGCCTTTTCGCACTATTGTGCCGACCCTAACTGTACTTTTTAGGCTCACTTTCCGGTGAGTACAGTTCGGTACAAGGTCAGCATAGTTTTGTTACACACTGCTTATTTCCAGCATGGGTTAGGCAGGGCATGGCTAGCTAACTATGCCTCTCTGCTTGCTTAGGCGGACTGGCGCCAGGGCCCATATTAACAAAGTATCTCAGAGTAGGAGTGCTGATCTAGGATCAGTTTGACGTTTTACGTCATCATAAATAAGAGGGGAGACCTTTATCCTAGATCAGTATTCCTACTCTGAGACGCTTCTTGATTACAGGCCCATATTTGTTAGCGGGCCAGCTCGGCTCCCTTTTAACGAACTGAGCCTTACTAAAATGGACAATATTGAAAGAAAGTATCTGAGCCAGGACAGTATGGTTCGGTTTGGCACAATAGTGTGAAAGGGGTATCAGAGCCTCTGGAGTATTCTACAGTGCATTTTCACTGAAAAAAGGAACTCTGTCCTGTTTCAGACTAGAGCCCAACTGGCCTCTCCTTCTCCTCCCATCTGTCTATTTGTCATGCCCATGTATACTATACCTCTGTCTGGTAGGGAATATCATCTTTCTATGAGATTCTTATCTTGGTGTTGACTTTGTAGCTACTAATGACAGCATGCAGCTGCTTCTCTCTTCATCGACTGTGAACAGATTGGTTCTGAATGTATCTTTTTGCAGAGTTGGCTCTGTGTCCGTTCCTCTCTCGGTGTCTCCCTCCCTCTCTTCCTCTGCATCTGTTCTGCTGCACTTTGTGAGAAATGCTGATGTAAAAAGGGCTTTATAAAATACATTTGATTGATCCTGTCTGCATGAAGAGACGTCCCTATGCACCCCTGTCCTGTCCCAACAGGGTCCTATGCCAGCCCTGGGAAATAGGTCTCAGGAGAAATGTCACTTTACACACTGTGAACAAACAAGCTGTCAATAGTGCCATCTGTCCTATAGAGGGATATTGTTACAGCAATGCAGCCACAATATGAGCTGTTGTCATTTTTTTATGCAATTGATCCACGTTCTATCTTTCATTCACTCATTCTTGTATTTTGACTATTCAATACTGAATGTGAAATTACTTTAATATAACTCTCCAGTTTTCTCTCTCCCTGTCCCCTCTTTCTTCCCTCCCTGTCTCTCTCGCTCTCTCTCCCTCCCGTTACCCTTCCCTCTCTCCCATCTCCCCCTTTCTCTCCCCCGCCCCCATTCACCCTTTCCTCCCTCTCTCTCCTTTTCCTCCCTAGGATTTCTGCCATGGCCAGGTGATGTGGCCTCCCCTCAGTGCTCTGCAGGTGAAGCTGGCTGAGCCGGGGAGCTCCTGTAAGCAGGTGTGTCAGGAGGAGCAGCTCATCTGCGAGCCCTCCTTCTTCCAGCACCTCAACAAGGACAAGGACCTGGCCCGGTTAGTGTGTGCACATAAAGTACACCTAAACCTGCATGCAAACGCGTGCACTCGCACACACACAAATGCACATCCGAGACACACGCACACATGCATTTTGCTTTCTACCCAACAGATGGCGGTATAGCATAAATATACGTTCAATACCTGTCTGATGCTGTGCTGAATATGTTTTGCTCTTAAACCACTAGAGGTCGCACACAAGTTATTCCCTTAATAAAGATTCAGAGACAAAATGATAGAGAGATCTCAGAAGGAAACAGAATTTATTGCAATTGTCAAATGTCAATATAAGCAATCTCAAATTAAACTCACTCGTCAGTGTCAGCAGTGAGTGGTTATTGAGACGTCAGGACTCAATGTAATGGGGATCATTTAAAGGAATTTTCTCTTTGAGCTGTAGTGCATCATAGCAGACACAGTGATGCTCAATCTGTCTGTCTGTCTGCCCTGACTGTGTCTACCTGTCTTTCTACCTGCTTGTCTGTCTGACAGCGTCTGTCCATCTGTCTCTTTCTGTCTGTCTATATGATATCCCAGATGTACAGATACATTTTTACTTGTGTTTCTTTGTTATGTGTATACTGTATATTGTGTCTTATGTACTCCCGGCAGCATAATGAATTTCCCTGTGTGGACAATAAAGTAGAATTGAATATTTACCATTTTCTGTCTCAGGTTCGGCATGGACTGCCAGACGGTGGAGTCGTCGGGCGACACGGTGGTGCCGGCGTACAGCGACGCGCGTCATCACTGCGTCTTCCAGTCGGACCTGCTGCTGTTCAGCTGCGCCGGCGCCCACCCCTCCCTCAAACGCGTCTGCCCCTGCCGGGACTACATGAAGGGCCAGGTGGCGCTGTGCAAAGGCTGCCTATAGCCCCTGTCTGTTTGGGTGTGTGGAGAGGATCGAATTGGATTAGATTGGAAACCGTACCCTACCAGAGCGCTGCAGGGAATGGGGGATGGGGTTTCTCTAGTTCTAACCACTCAGACGGCTTGACTCCTCCCCCTTGCTCCACACCTGCAGTCCTGCAGCCTAACTCCTCCCACAGCCAGGCCTCTGGAGGGAGGAAGAGCAGCCTGGGAACCAGACAACCAGGAGACATCTGTATTATTTACATCCGTTTTTAATCGCCTGAACTTTGACCTTTAAGGCATTTTGATCAGCTTGTCAGACGGACAGAATCGGCAGTAAACTGTGGAAATTAAAACGGTGGACAGAGAGAGGCCAGTGAGCTACATACATACTCTGGGAACTGGGAATGTCAATGGAACAGTTGTCAGTAAGACACGGGCAGGAGGAAAGGAGGGTAAAGAAAAAAGAGACATTGCGCATCGGCCTGAATTACTTGAATCAATGGGAGTCGCTGTATATTTGAGGCGGAGCGCATGGCAACAGAGCTCCCTACTGCCCCTTGGCTGTGTGGCAGTGGGTGGTACTGCAGTCTGTGGTCCAGTGAATCCACCCACTGTATCTCTCCAAGCTTGTAGTCGCATCGTGTGTGTCGCCACACTCAGCATGCTTTCCTTTCTGCCCCCTGTCCCCTTTTATCTTTGAACTATTTTAGCTATGTAGGTTTGCACTGGAGACCCATAAGGGGCCGGCCCAGGCAATAAGGCTCTGTTCCAATGTCCACACTAGCATACTACTTAGGATGAAGCAATGCACAGGGCATGTATTCTGAATGGTATGCTCCATTTGGGAACGTAACCTAAAGTATGGTGAAGTTGCCCATAGACCCTGATCTATGGCCAGTTTAGCATTTCCCTTATTTATGGTTAAGGTCATGATTGGGGGAGTGGAAGCTGATCCTAGATCTGTACCTAGGAAACTTCACCTAAAGGAATGCTAGTGTGAAGAAGAAGAAGCAGAGCCAGTTTTACACTGTAACTGTACCGCTCCTCGTAGTCGCGTCTGGACAGGGGAGCGGTCAGATGTAGATATAATGTCGCTTTTAAATGTTCCAAATCGCAAATCACTTTTAATCCTGAGGCATTGTCCCTCGTGGTCATTCCCAACTACAGCTCACATACACACAGAAACACACACAGTCCACCATGGCTCCTCTGTAGCCCTGCATGGTAGATTGACCCTCCTCATGTTCCCAATGTACAGACTAAAGGCTGAGTTTTCAGCTCGCACACATTCACAACCACACCCACCTGACTGACCAGCTGGGATGTGCTGGGGTGTGTGCCAAAACATTGCCAGTAGCCAATGAAAATAATAATTTGTCATTAATACATTTCAATCAAATGTTTCAAGAATTGATTATCAGGAGGTCAGATCAGTCACATGCAATAGCTACAGTGAGGGAAAAAAGTATTTGATCCCCTGCTGATTTTGTACGTTTGCCCACTGACAAAGACATGATCAGTCTATAATTTTAATGGTAGGTTTATTTGAACAGTGAGAGACAGAATAACAACAAAAAAATCCAGAAAAACGCATGTCAAAAATGTTATAAATTGATTTGCATTTTAATGAAGGAAATAAGTATTTGACCCCTCTGCAAAACATGACTTAGTACTTGTGGCAAAACCCTTGTTGGCAATCACAGAGGTCAGACATTTCTTGTAGTTGGCCACCAGGTTTGCACACATCTCAGGAGGGATTTTGTCCCACTCCTCTTTGCAGATCTTCTCCAAGTCATTAAGGTTTCGAACCTGACGTTTGGCAACTCGAACCTTCAGCTCCCTCCACAGATTTTCTATGGGATTAAGGTCTGGAGACTGGCTAGGCCACTCCAGGACCTTAATGTGCTTCTTCTTGAGCCACTCCTTTGTTGCCTTGGCCGTGTGTTTTGGGTCATTGTCATGCTGGAATACCCATCCACGACCCATTTTCAATGCCCTGGCTGAGGGAAGGAGGTTCTCACCCAAGATTTGACGGTACATGGCCCCGTCCATCGTCCCTTTGATGCTGTGAAGTTGTCCTGTCCCCTTAGCAGAAAAACACCCCCAAAGCATAATGTTTCCACCTCCATGTTTGACGGTGGGGATGGTGTTCTTGGGGTCATAGGCAGCATTCCTCCTCCTCCAAACACGGCGAGTTGAGTTGATGCCAAAGAGCTCGATTTTGGTCTCATCTGACCACAACACTTTCACCCAGTTCTCCTCTGAATCATTCAGATGTTCATTGGCAAACTTCAGACGGGCTTGTATATGTGCTTTCTTGAGCAGGGGGACCTTGCGGGCGCTGCAGGATTTCAGTCCTTCACGGCGTAGTGTGTTACCGATTGTTTTCTTGGTGACTATGGTCCCAGCTGCCTTGAGATCATTGACAAGATCCTCCCGTGTAGTTCTGGGCTGATTCCTCACCGTTCTCATGATCATTGCAACTCCACGAGGTGAGATCTTGCATGGAGCCCCAGGCCGAGGGAGATTGACAGTTATTTTGTGTTTCTTCCATTTGCGAATAATCGCACCAACTGTTGTCACCTTCTCACCAAGCTGCTTGGCAATGGTCTTGTAGCCCATTCCAGCCTTGTGTAGGTCTACAATCTTGTCCCTGACATCCTTGGAGAGCTCTTTGGTCTTGGCCATGGTGGAGAGTTTGGAATCTGATTGATTGATTGCTTCTGTGGACAGGTGTCTTTTATACAGGTAACAAACTGAGATTAGGAGCACTCCCTTTAAGAGTGTGCTCCTAATCTCAGCTCGTTACCTGGGAGCCAGAAATCTTTCTGATTGAGAGGGGGTCAAATACTTATTTCCCTCATTAAAATGCAAATCAATTTATAACATTTTTGACATGTGTTTTTCTGGATTTTGTTGTTGTTATTCTGTCTCTCACTGTTCAAATAAACCTACCATTAAAATTATAGACTGATCATTTCTTTGTCAGTGGGCAAACGTACAAAATCAGCAGGGGATCAAATACTTTTTTCCCTCACTGTACTTGACGGGGAGTCTGTGTGACATAGATTATATAGTGTGGTATTGTACTGTAGACAGTAGAACACCATCAGAGCTGTAGTGGGGAAGGGCACACCTAGACCCAGGCAGATCGAAAATCAGTCATCTCAATCACCGGTATCACACAGGCCCATTGCCTTGGCCACAATAGATTTAACAGAAAAATATTCTAAATTCTAAATAAATATATTGATCATGAATATTTGTACTCTAGATATTTAAATCTTTATGTATACATTAGACCGAAAGATCACATACACACGTCATTTCTATGGATATACTGTAAGTTATAGCTCTTGACAGAGCAACACACACACCTGCGACTTCAGTTGACTTGTTTCCTTCATTTGGAAATCGTTTAGGGTCCTAATTTGCCTGCCAATTCGTTTTTCTAAAGCGTCAATAAAAGTTTGAATTAGTAGTCCTTGTTGTGAATGGAAATAATGCACTACTTTAAAATATTTACTGAAGTTTAACAAAATATATTACTAATACTGTATATTCTTCATATGGGTTTTAAATTCTTTTTTTATTTATTTTGTATACAGATCTTTATCTCTGTGTTTGCTGAATTGTTTCTTTTTATTTATAGAAAAGGAGTTTTCTTTTTACAGAGGGTAATTTTATTTATCAAAATATAATATAACGCGTACATTCAAGTGGATGGATGAGACGGGAGTTGTTTGTCCAATCTGACCACCCCCCAGCAACAGTGATGAGAGAGAATGAGAAATTGCAAAGATAATATCCAAATGCTTTGGAAACATGGCTGCAAAAGGCCATGTAGAAACATAGAAACTGGTCAAAAGTAGTACACTATACAGGGAATAGGGTGTCATTTCAGACACACCTTGAGACCGTCCACTTAGACACTGATGAAATGTGTTAGACCGGACAGTAGTGACATACATGTCTCTCTCCTCTCATCACTGTGCTTTCGGGGTGATGATAACATTGGTACAAAAGCAGCACACCCTTTTTTTAATTGTAAATACCAGCAAGAACCTTGTGATGTTTTTATTTTCAGATCTTAATGCAAACCATTTGCACATTTGTAAATATAGATACGTTGTCTTTTAATTGGTCACATACTTTTTACGACTTGCTTTTTTCTCCGCACTGTCCAGATCATTTTTTATTAAGTTTGTGTATACGATCTGCAGCCAAGCTACCATTTTAAAAAGTACATGATGTGCCTTTTAATGGTTATTACTAGACTCCGCTTATCGTACCTGCCCAATAGATCTACCGGACCTACTGCCAGAGAAAATTGTTAGTTGAGTTCACATAGTTTGCTAGAAGGATAATGTTTCTTGTAAAATGTACTGTGTAGGTAAACAGTAACGTATGCGTTGGACTTAGTGGTGATGGTTAAAGCAAATGTGTCTTAATGCGGTTGTGGACATGTTTACCGAAGGCTTTTAGTGGGGTAAAATACAGCGTATAAAAGCATCTGATTCTGTGTGGCAGTGGCCTTGTTCTATTCCTATTAGAGTCAGGCTTATTTAGAGTATGTTGTCAACTGTTTGCTTCTTTCCTTTCATTGGTTGTTATTTATAAATTAGGGATCTTGAGCACCAATAGAAATAGCCTCTGTAATTGTCTATTTTTTTAATTGGTTTGTCCTAAAACCGTTAATGGAACTCAAAATGATAGCTGAAAGGAAGATGTATTATGGGCATGAAAAGGTTTCCTCAAGTCTCTTTAACCCAACATCAAATGTCTCAGTTGTCAAATCAGCATTTGCATTCATATATATCCATAATTACCTTTCTTTTCAATCTCAACCTTGTTTTAAGCTATCATGGAAAAGCTAAAGCAACGATTGTTCTGGGACTAAATTATGACCGTACAAAAAAAGAAACATTTTGTTTTCACAGTTTCTGACGAATAAGCAGGATATAACTTTATTTTTCAATAAAACTTTTTCTGTGACAAATGGGTCTCAGTCTTGTGTGT